TGTCAACACTCTCCCCTTCTCTACCTTGGGTTCCCGTTACCAGCTTTCCTGTCCCCTCCTGTCCTCTCACCCTTGCCCCTCCTAGGCTAAATCTTTACAGAAGCACACTGCTGTATCCTTCTCCCGAGGAGTGACTGGTGGATTTGAACCACCAACCTTTTGGTTATAGCCGAGAGCTTAACCACTGTGCTACCAGGGCTCCTCCAGTGCTATTACATGGGGAAAAAATTGATCACTGGGGCCCCAGCGTCTCTTTTTGCTTCTCAGGGTCTAGCTGCTTCCCTCCCATACATGCACTGACTGTCATTCTGAGCTTGTCATCATAGCAGCAGAAAGTAGTTGGTGAGTGCATTAATAATAACCAACATAAGGCTAATTTCCAATATGCAAAGATAACTCATATCCCCACTTTCCCACTTCTCCATCTCTTACACCAGCCACCCACATGGCATTTTCTCTCTCTGCCCCTTGTGGGTTCAGTACTTTGCTGGAATAACTCACAGAAATTATGGAGACTACCTATACTTACGGTTACCCATTTATTATAACCAGAAAGGATACAAGTGAAGAGACAAGTCAGGCAAGGTCTGGGAGACCTGTGGCTCTCCCATGTGTGGATGTCCTCACCACTGTAGCAAGCCCCAGAAAAGAGCTCCAAGGTCCAGGGTCCCTTATAAGTCATTGAGAACTCAACGTATATACATGACTGGGGCCTCAATACATACGCATGAATCAATGAATATGTATGATTGATTCCTTCATGCCTCCCCTCTTTTTGAAGTTTGCTGCCAATGTGGGGCCTGTGCAGCCCCTACTCGTTTACACATGTTTAAGCATTCACTTGCCTGCTAACTGTAAGGTGGGTGGTTTGAACCCACCTAGTGGCTCCAAGGGAGAAATACGTGCTTCTGTAAAGATTACAGCCAAGAAAACCCTATGGGGCAGTTCTCTGTCACATGGGATCACTATGAGTCAGAATCAACTCAACAGCCCCCAACAACAAGTATTGCCTGGGCTAATTTTTTTTTTCCTCAGTTAACTTTTTCTTTAGTATACATTTTTTATTGTGCTTCAGATGAAGGTTTACAGAACAAATTAGTTTCTCATTAAACAATTAATACACATATTGTTTTGTGACATTGGTTGCCAACCCTGTGACATGTCAACACTCTCCCCGTCTCGAACTTGGGTTCTCCATTTCCATTCGTCCAGCTTTCCTGTTCCCTCCTGCCCCTGGGCTGGTGTGCCCATTTAGTCTCATATACATTGTTGAGCTACATGTATTATTGTTTGTTTTATGGGCCTGTCTCCTTTGGCTGAAGGGTGAACCTCAAGAGTGACCTCAGTACTGAGTTAAAAGGGTGTCCAGGAGCCATACCCTTGGGGTTTCTTCAGTATCTGTCAGACTAGTAAGTCTGGTCTTTTTTTGTGAGTTTGAATTTTGTTCTGCATTTTTCTCTAGCTCTGCCTGGGGCCCTCTATTCTGATCCCCGTCAGAGCAGTTGATGGTGGTACCCAGGCACCATCTTGTTGTGCTGGACTCAGTCTGGTGGAGGCTGTGGCAGTTGTGATCTTTCCCTCCTGTCTTTGGTTTTCTTCATACTTCTTGCTCCGGATAGCGTGGAACCAGTGGAGTATCTTAGGTAGCCGCACACAAGCTTTTAAGAACCCAGACGATACTCACCATAAGTAGGATGTAGAAATTTTCTTTATAAACTGATATGCCAATTAAGCGAGGTGTCCCTGCCTGAGCTATTTTATGAAACAAAGGTCCCTTGTTTGCTGGCAAATTCCAACGGCTATTTTCAGAAACCAGAGACAAAAGGCCAAATAGAGTAATTATATTGAGTCAAAAAATAGCTTTTGACTGAAACCCTTTTCAACTTCTTATGAGGAAAACATCGCAGCTTCCAATATAAACTTCCCACACAACTCTAAGCTTTTATCTTACACTGTCTGATACACTAACTTAAAATAGGCAGAAAATAACCCTTCTCCGAAAACGTTCAATTGTTTGCATACCTAGTATAAGAAAACGTCCTGGGAGCGACGCGAAGGAAGTCCCGCCCCGGCCCCGCCCCACCCCACCTTTTCGTTGCTTGGCCCGTCTACTGGCCCCGCCCACTGGCTTGCGCCGCTCCCAGACCCCGCCCCCACGCCGCCACGTCGCTTCTCGCCGCGCGCCTGCGCAGTTTATTACAGACGCGGAAGCGGTTTAGGCGGAGCGAAATTCATAGTGTGGTGAGTTTCTATCCTTCTGGTTGAAATCTGCGCATCGCGGCCCCCCGTCCTCCACATTAGAGGTTCGGGGGTCTCTCCGGACGTTAAAATCCCCGCACCTGCCCTTCCTACCCACGGCAAATCCCGTGAGACGCTGTGGCCCTCGGGCTCCGCCGCCGGCCGGGCATCCGAGTCCGTTTCGGTGTAAAATCGCGCTGAGGCGGGTCCCAGCCCCGGCCTTTCTGCCTTCAGGCCGTGCAGACGCCGCCTGCTGCGTCGTTTTCCTGCTTAAAACCCTTCCCTGACCCCTGCCCGCCTGCGCCGGGTAAAGTCCTCACCCGGGGGTGGATTCACCGCCTTCCCTCCCCCCACCCCCGTCACCCTTTTAGAATAACCCTGGCCCCACCGCTCCATGGGCAGCCCTGGTTCTCTCCCTGGTCCTGGTACTCTTAGACCCCACCTCTTCCCTGAAGCCCCGTCCTCGCGTCTTCCGCCGGCCTCCTCTTCGAAGTCCCCGCTTACTCCTTGACCCCTACCCCCGTGTCGGGAGAGGGGATCTGGGTCTGCCCTGTGACACCCCGTGTTCTTCCGTCCCCAATTCCACCCCCCTGGAAACTGCTTCTTCCGGACAACGGACATCTGATTTCTGTATATGGGTGGGCGACGGTATCGGGAGAAAGAGACAGAGAGCAACTGAGAAATAGAAATACTGAGTGGAGAGAAGAAGACTGAAGGAGAGCCATAGAGAGATGGCTAAGTAGAGGGGAGGGGAGGGACCTGCAAAGAGACTATCAGACTGAAAGAGAATAAACCGAGAGAGTGGTAGAGGAGAAAAGACAATAGAGAAATCTAGAGAAAAAGGGGGTCTCAGAGAGTGAAGGGGAGCAAAATGGGGAGAGAGCCCTTAGTCTGCAGTAAGAGTGGGGACGACGGGAGTTGGGGGAGGCATGTCAGACAGAGATTTGGTGGAAGAAGATGGAAGAGTTGGCGGCGCCGTGGCAGACAGAGTGACTTGGTGCAGGGACAGACGGGTGCAAGGGCGACAGGGAGATCTGAGGGAGAAACAGCAAGGAGGGTACACGGGGCTGCGGTTGTCAGAGAGTGGGTCAAGGAGTTGTAACAGGGAGAGGAGAGGGGGAGCAGAGATGAGGGAGAGAGGAGCAGAAATAATACGAAGATGGAGGGCAATCAGACAGATGGGAGAGCAAGAGTAACAAGGTGAAACAGGTTGCAGGAGTGAATAGGCTGAATAGGTGTAGGAGAAGGAATAGAGGGAAGGTGAGAAACAGCTCGGGACTAGAGACTGGGGAAGGAAGTGAGCAGAAACTGAGGGGGGAAAGGAACAAGAATCAAAAGAAGAGAAACAGAAGGAAAGAGAGAGAGAAAGGCACAGAGAGAGGGAAACACATAGTCGTGCAGAAAGATGACCCAGATCCAGATGAGTGGGAAGTTGATGGAATACGGATGATTAATTTGTGATGTATTGATTGGTGCCTTTATAATCTAATTTAAAATAAAAAAAAAAACCATACAGATGAGAATGAGAATTGCAAAACTTCTGTGTATTAGGCTTGTACATTTTGTTATTATTTGCATTAGAAGGTAACTTCCATGGCAACTGCTATTCAACCAGAGGATAGTGACTTGTTGCAGTCCATTCTGGGTCACCCTCTGCCCTTTTCCTGGGTCAAGTGGGTGGAGGGATAAAATGGGCCAAGAAATTACTGCCTCTCTCTTATTGTGTGGTGCCTTTTTAAAGGAACATTAGAAGTGTGAGGGTTTTTTTTTTTTATGGATTTACTTCTTTCATCTTAGTAATTTATTGTTCTTTTCAAGGTTATTGAGATAAATCTTTATTGAATTTCAGCTTTTCTCTAAATAATCATCAACTTCTGAAATAAGTTTTGGTGGCATCCCATATTTAGCCCATGTCATTCTTTTCTAAATATATATTCTCAATTTTTTTCAGTTTTACCCAAAAAAATTATTAGATTTTTTAAATTTTAATTTACAAATTGTTTTCTCAGATTTTCTGTGCCTGGTTCACGTTATGAGGCCTGTATGCTTTTTACTCTTTGTCATCTGTTGAAAACATTCTTTGTTACCTAGTAAATAATTTTAAGACTATTTCAGTGTGTGCTTTGTAGGGATGTTGATGATATTTTATATTAACAGTCAAAACCTATTAACCAGTTAGTCTAATATTCAGTTTTCTTCCCTTATGTGATCAGTTAATGTATTAAATTGTAGGCCGCTAAGTAGATGTTTTCTTCAAGTCCTTCTTGTCCTTTCTCTGCAAATGTTAAAAGATGGTGCTTGGACTATGCAAGCTGCTTACTAAAAAAGGAGCAACGTGGGCAAACCCCACCTTTATCACTAACTTTGTGGCAACGATCAGCATGAATCTAATTCCTATCTGGAAATGGATTCAGGCCTCACCTTCCCCCTTCTCCATACCTCATCAGCCACTTCTGTGGCAATTCCTCTCTATCTTTCTCTCTTTCCCTCTCTCTTTAGCCCCCTGGGTCACAAGCTAGCAGGACTCTATCCTCCTTCATTGACTGCGCATGCAGCCTTCCCTTGACCACGAGCCACCCAGGTCTGGGCCTACACAAATCGACTCTGTCCTGCCTTCCCCTGCTGGCTCACTGCCCCTGTGGGTTCATTAATTCTGTAGAATGGCTCACAAAATTCATGGAGATTATTACCTATACTTACAGTTACTCATGTACTTTAATCAGAAAGGATACAAGTAAAGAGGAGACACACCAGGCAAAGTCTGGGAGAGTTCCCGGCATGGGGCCTCCATTGTCCGTTAGGACATGCTGCTCTGTCTCCCATGCATGGAAGTTCCGGGAGGCCCCAAAGAGTGTGCTCCAAGGTCCCAAGTACCCTAAGTCAGTGGGACCTCAATGAATATGCATGACTGGAGGAGCCTTAATGCATAGTTATGCTCGATCTAATCAGTGAATATGCATGATTGCACCCAGCCCCCCTTCTTTCCTGAAGTTAGTTTCCCAGGTGTAGGGCCTGTGTAGCCACTACTTGCCTGGCTTTTTGCAAAGACAAAGAGTACCTTAATTGCTTGGGCTGTTTTCAGAAGCCAGATACAAAAGCCAAATCTAGTTCTTTGTCCCATAGCTGGGCTGAATTGACTTGGAACCTTGTTCCAACAGAACCCATTTATTCACAGTGAAGATATTTGCTCAGAGCTTCTTTTTCATGAGCTGAACCCTCATTCAGTCAGCAGCATGTTGCATAGTTGATCACTCCTTTGTTTTGAAAAACATTTTTCTTACTTTCTAGCACATCACAGTATTCTTTAAATTTCTGCTTGTCTGTGTATTTCTTTCATTTTTCACTTTTCTTCCTGATCGCATCTCAGTTTTCTCTGGTTTCTCCTGGTCTCTGAAGGAGGGAACGCCCAAGGGTGCAGTCCTTGTACCTCTTCTCTGTCTACACTTAGGACCTTCCCATGTCATCTCATCTCATGGTTTTAAACACCCTGACGCCTCCCAGTTTCATCTCCAGCCAGATCGCTCCCTGGAACTCCAAACTCATGTATCCAGCCGGCTCCTCGACATCTCTGCTGTGGCCCCTCACAGGCTTCTCCATCTTAAACCGAGCAACAATGACCTCCTGAGTTTCCCTAAAGGTGTCCATGGCTCCGTGAAGGGCTGCCCTGAACCTCCTGGGGCTCCAGTGAACATCTCGGTAAGCTTTTAAACTGTACAAGATACTACATCATTTGTAAATATTTTAAATTATGATAAAATAAATAATTAGATATGTGAGGGACTACATGGTTTTCAACATTCTTTTGGGGTTTAGGAGAAAAAGGTTTGAAGATTCTGCCTTTTCCTGAACTGCTTCACCAGGGCCTCCCTGACCTCATCTCCTTCTGGCCTCTGCAGTCATTCAGCCCTCCTTGCCTTTCCTTGAGCAGGACACTACTGTCTCAGGGCTTTCACACGGGTGGTCCCTCTGCCTGGAACTCTCCAGTCCCTCACGTGCACTTGGCAAACACCCTTCCTTCCTCACCTCTTTGTTCTCAAGGGACCCTTCTCTGAACTGCATTTAATGTTCCAGCCATACCCTCACCCCACCCCTGGCCCATAATGCCTGCTCTGCACGTTTCTCTCTGCTCCTGCACCTTCCACTCTCTGGATCCAGGTGACAGCTCAGCCCAAGGGGAGAGCGGAGCCACAGATGGGAGGTTTGCTGAGCTTGCCTCCTCTGAGCTGTCTCAGCCCTGGCTTCATACTGGATTGCTAATGCATTTTGCAAACACATCACATGCCCCCTCCCCAGAGATTCTTCTTTAAAGTTGAGGCAGGGCCCAGCCTCTATAATGTTTAATCACCACAGGTGATTATAATCTGCATCCAGCATTGAGCACAAGGCTCTGGGTCATCCTTTTCTGAAGACTGAGACCAGTCTGCAATCCAGGGGGAGGTGAGAGAACTCTTGCTCTGTATGGAATGTGGTCTCAGGGCTAGTCTGGGACCTGAAGGAGAGGATCAGTCCATCCCAGATCCCCCTGCCGCAGCATAGTGTGAGCTTCACTAGGAGGGGAGGATGATAAACTCACCTGTTGGTCTCTGTGTGGGAGGTTATTGTCCCGGAGTCCCTCCTGGGACAGTGGGCAGCAGGGGCTATCTTTTCCCATAGTGTGGTCCTCACGGTGTGTGTGGTTGTGGCACAGGTGCTGATTCTAAGAATTTAACAGCATATTTTCAACACTCAGGATTGACTTCTCAAGACTAATCTTACCTGAGAATGAAGCCGGGAGGAAGAAGAAAGAAAGAGGTATCCAGAATGGCTCTGCCCCAGGTAACAGTCATATTCCTGGTTGGTAGCTCTATCCTCTCCTTCCTGAAATGCTGTCCTGAGAATTTGCTCATCTTGTCTGACTCTGATGTGTCCTGCCCGACACGTTTGCTTGAACTCACCAGGGGCTTCCCTCATCCCCTCTCACCTCCACACAGATTCCATCTCATGGTGGTGACCCAGTAACGTGGGACTTGTGAAGTGGCTCCATTTGAGGGGTGTTTTAGAAAGGACTTCAGACCAGGCCTAGGTGGGAGATGGGAGTGGGCCCTGTAGGGACAATAAGGGTGGGCAGCTGAGAGGGTTTAGGGGCCACATCTGGATGCCCTGACAGCTGTCTGTGAACCAACTTGAAATAAACTACATATTTGTATGTCCCATTAATGTACTGGATCATCTGGAAAGTTCTGGAAAAGGAGACTGATAATGGGAAACCTGCTCTGCCTGATTTTATAATGCATTCAAAACTAAACAAGTGAATCAGTATGTTACTGGTTCCTGTAAATAATCATGGTGCAGTGTCTGACCTCTTCTAACTTCTCGAGGGGGAGGAATTACCATCAACAGCCCAAGGCTGATCCCTATGAGGTAGAGGTCAAACATACCTCCACCCTCCAACTGTTTTACCAATTCTGACACCAGCTGTCCCTCCTACAGCACTCTTTACTTCACTGGTGGGTTTGATAATTCATTGCAGTGACCACAAAAAACTCAAAGACCATACTCACAGTTATGGACTTTATTAGGGAAGTAACAGGTTACAACTCAGGATCAGGATCAACAGGCTACAACTCGGGATCAGGATCAAGAAGCTTGTAGGCAAAGTCATGACAGTTCTCTCAGCACTTCTTGGTTGTGCAAGGCTCCTCTCAGCCCCTTCAGGACAGGCCTCCCCTCTCTGCCCTCGCCCCCTGCTTGGGCCTGTCCTCTGCCCTGCTTGGCCAAATGTTACCAAGATCTTTAGCTCTGCCAGTAAGTGCCCAGAGGCATTTCACTCCTCCAGGAAGCATCTTGCCTAAAGGTGCTATGCTCTCTCACTCTGTGGGTCAGCAATCCCACTGTAGCTGCCTTACTTCGTTGGATGGGAAGCCCACTGCGCCTTCTTGTGCTGGTCTCTTGGTTCTACTGCTGCCATTTCTCTACCACGCTTGCTGTCGCTTCTTGCCATCTTGCGCCACCTGCAGTGTTAGACAGCTCTTGCTGTCTCCTGGGTTTAGGAGGTTCTCAGCACAGGGACCATTGTTCCAAAGGATGTACTCCACTCCTGGCTCTTCTTTCTTTTTTTTTTTTTTTTTAATTGTGCTTTAAGTGAAAATTTATAATTCAAGCCAGTTTCTCATATAAAAAAATTACACACGCATTGCTATGTGACCCTAGTTGCTCTCCCTATACTGTGACAGCACACTCCTGCTTTCCACCCAGATTTCCCATGTCCAGTCAACCAGCTCCTGACCCTCTCTGCCTTCTCATCTCTCCCATTTAGTCTCATGTATCTACTTGAGCTAAGAAGCACACTCCTCACAAGTATCATTTTATGTCCCATAGACCAATCTAATCTTTATCTGAAGAGCTGGCCTCCAGATGGTTTCAGCTCTGGGCCAACAGAGGGTCTGGGGACGATGTCTTCTGGGGTCCCTCCAGTCTCAGTCAAACCATTAACTCTGGTCTTTTTACTAGAATTTGAGTTCTGCACCCTACTTTTCTCCTGTTCCATCAGGGGCTCTCTGTTGTGTTCCCTGTCAGGGCAGTCATTGGTGGTAGCCGGGCACCGTTTAGTTCTTCTGGTCTCAGGCTGATGGAGTTTTTGTTTTATCTGGTCCTTTCTGTCTCTTGGGCTAATATTTTCCTTGTGTCTTTGGTGTTCTTCGTTCTCCTTTGCTCCAGGTGGGTTGGGACCAATTGATGCATCTTAGATGGCCGCCAGTTAGCTTTTAAGACCCCAGACGCCACTCACCAAAGTGAGATGCAGAAGATTTTCTTAATAAACTTTGTTATCCAAGTTGACCTAGATATCCCCAGACAGCATGGTCCCCAGGTCCCCACCCCTGCTACTCTGTCCCTCGAAGTGTTTGGTTGTATTCAGGAAACTTTTTAGCTTTTGGTTTAGTCCAGTTGTGCTGACTTCCTCTGTAGTGTGTGCTGTCCTTCCCTTCACCTAAGATAATTCTTGACTACTGTCTAGTGAATACCCCCTTCCTTCCTTCCTCACCCTCGTAACCATCAAAGAATGTTTTCTTCTATGTTTCACCCTTTTCTTGAGTTCTTATAATTGTGGTTGTCATGGATTGAATTGTGTCCCCCAAAAATATCTGTCGACTTGGCTAGGTCATGATTCCCAGTATTGTATGATTGTCTACCATTTTATCATCTGATGTGGTTTCGCTATGTGTTGTAAATGTTATCACTATGATGTAATAAGATGGATTAGCGGCAGTTATATTGGTGAGGTCTACAAAATTAGGTAGTGTCTTAAGCCAATCTCTTTTGAAATGTAAAAGAGAAAAGTGAACAGAGAGACATGGGAACCTCATACCACCAAGAAAGCAGTGCTGGGAGCAGAGCATGTCCTTTGGACCTGAGGTTCCTACGCAGAGAAGCTTGGAGACCAAGGGAAGATTGATGACACTTACGTTCCGCCAGAGCTGATGGAGAAAGTGTTCCCTGGAGCTGATGCCCTGAGTTTGGACTTGTAGCCTACTGGACTGTGAGAGAATAAACTTCTCTTCGTTAAAGCCATCCACTTGTGGTATTTTAGTTATAGCAGCACTAGTTGACTAAGACAGTGATCTTATACAATATTTGTCCTTTGGCAACTGACTAAATTCACTTAGCATAATGCCTTCCAGATTCATCCATGTCATGAGATGTTTCACAGATTCATCATTGTTTTTTATTGTTGCATAGTATTTCATTGTGTGGATATACCATAATTTATCCATTTGTCTATTGATGGGCATCTAGGTTGTTTCCATTTTTTTGCTTTTGTGAACAGTGCTGCAGTGGACATGGGTGTGCATATGTCTATTCATGTGACGGCTCTTATTTCTCTAGTATATATTCCAAGGAGTGGGATTGCTGGATCGTATGGTACTTCTATTTTTAGCTTTTTAAGGAAGCATCAAATTGATTTCCAAAGTGGTTGTACCGTTTTACATTCCCACCAGCAGTGTATAAATGTTCCAGTCTTTCACAACCTCTCCAACATTTATTAGTGTTTTTTGGATTAATGCTAGTCTTTTTGGAGTGAGATGGTATCTCATTGTAGTTTTGATTTGCATTTCTCTAATGGCTAATGATTGTGAACATTTCCTTATGTATCTGTTAGCTCCCTGAATATCTTTGGTGAAGTGCCTGTTCATATCCTTTGCCCATTTTTTAATTATTTGTCTTTCTGTTGTTGAGGTTTTGCAGTATCTTGTAGATTTTAGAGGTTAAATGCTGATCGGATTTGTTGTAGCCAAAAATTGTTTCCCACTCTGTAGGTTGTCTTTTACTCTTTTGGTGAAGTCTTTTATTGAGCATAAGTATTTGAGTTTTAGGAGCTCCCAGTTATCTAGTTTCTCTTCTGGTGTTTGTGCATTGTTACGGTTTGTGTTCTGTTTATGCCGTATATTAGGGCTCCCAGTGTTTTCCCTGTTTTTTCTTCCATTTATCATTTTAGATTTTATATTTAGGTCTTTGATCCATTTTGAGTTAGTTTTTGTGCATGGTGTGAGGTATGGGTCTTGTTTCATTTTTTTGCAGATGGATATCCAGTTATGCCAGCACCACTTGTTAAAGAGACTGTCTTTTCGTCAATTAACAGACTTTGGGCCTTTGTCAAGTATCAGCTGCTCATTGGTGGATGAATTTACGTCTGAATTCTCAATTTTGTTCCATTGGTCTATGTATCTGTTGTTGTACCAGTACCAGGCTGTTTTGACTACTGTGGTGGTATAATAGTTTCTAAAATCAGGTAGCGTGAGGCCTCCCTCTTTGTTCTTCTTCGATAATGCTTTATTTCTCTGGGGTCTCTTCCCTTTCCATATGAAGTTGGTGATTTGTTTCTCCATCTCGTTAAAAATGCCATTGGAATTTGGATTGGGATTGCATTATATCTGTAGATTGCTTTGGGTAGAATTGACATTTTCACAGTGTTGATTCTTCCTATCCATGTGGCGCGTCTTTCTTGATAGTAGTAAGATCCCTCTCTCTGCTCTGGGATTTGCTGTCTTTTTAAGCCTAGTGGGATGGCAAAACTGACCAATGCCCTCATTAGGGTTCCGTACACCTCATTTGCATGGTCCCACCCCCACAGTTTTTCCATGCATCATATTTGCATTCTTAGCAGGCTGTCCAATCCACTTGGTGGGCCACACACTCCTTATTTGCTTAGTCCTACCTAATCAGTGTGTGAGAGTTATAAGACCACGTATGGCTAAAAGGGCCATATTAAGGAATTCACTGTACTGCAGTTCCAAAATACTAATGATTTGGAATGGAATGGAAAATTCAGTAACAGACATCAGTAATAAAAGATGCGTTATTTCATAACTGATTCTAAAATAGGGAATTAACCTAAATTCTTGAAAGTAGGCGGTTCTTTAAATCATTTGCAGCACATCTGTTTCATGGAGACAGTGGTGTTCCCTCAGGGCCTCTAGTGCAGCAGGTGTTTCAGTAAAGGTGGTTAAAGGAGCAGAACTTTATCATCAGAGAGGATGGAGCCAAATCCTGGTTCCACTTTTTTTATTAGATTTATTTTATTTTAAACATCACATGATGGGTGTATTTGTTTAATGGTAAAACTCCAAGCAGTGATACAGTATAGGGACTAAGAAGTAAACACATTCTTCCCTACCACGTCCTCCACCATCACTTACCATCTCCATTGGGAACCACAGGTGTCAGCTCTGTGGCAGGAGTCAGTGCGGGTCTTGTTAAAATGAATATCAATGAATATCGTGATTTTAGAAAAAACTCTTCAGTGAATGAGTAAAGTTATTGTCTCAGTTATTTAGTGC